AGCGCGGCAGGCGTGGATCCAAGCGCCGATCTCAACCTTGAAGCGTGCCGCATCTGAAGAGCCCCCAAAGTGCTCTCAGAACACATCGACCAATTCCTTCGATTGCTGGACCCCGGAACTCCATCTTTTCTCCCAACCGCCGACCCTCCCACCCCCAGGCGGCAGAGCAGAGTCTCCAGATCGCTTACGACTGCTCGAGGCAAAAGTGGCCCGAATACTCATGCGCCGAGAGCTCTCGTCGGTCGCGGCTTGCCGTGTTTGCGCTCTCTGGCGCTGAGAGCCGGCCATGGCATTTCTCGGCGGAAGAGCGTTGGCCCAGAGCCATGCTCCAACGGTGGTCCCCTTCCAAGGTCTTCGGTGGCCTCCCAAGACTCCCAAGCCCTCTTATCGATCCATCTTTCCCTCATTCGGCCAGCCGTGACCCTCTTCCGACACCCCTGCCCCCTCATTGCCGTCGCGTACCTGCAGCAAACAACGGGCGGAATGGCGATGGACAGCGGGCGGGAGATGTTGTGATGGGCGCGGCGCCCGCGGCGGACACAGGAGACTGGGGCTCCTCTCCTCCTCTGGGCTCCTCCTCCATCCATCCTCCAAGGAAACGGGGCTCTTTCTTCCAACGGGGATGGATGACGGGGTCGTGGAGGAGATAGATGCACAGGACCCAGGCCCTTTGACGCTTGTGACTGGAAGAGGCAAAGCGAATCGAATATTGATTGACCGACCCCGCGCACCATTTTACGTACCTTGCTGTGGCTGCGTATCTCTGACGGCCAGTCGTCCCATTATCCTCTTTGATTCGGTCGTTTCTTCAATTTACTTTACTGGCCTCTTTATGAGCGTTTTGTGTGTGGGATATGCAGACCGGCGGAGTATATGCCATTCTTAGTCTTATTCCATGTCTCGCCCATCTTCCAAGGCAAAGGGTCCCTTTCACCGTCTTGTCTCTAGTGGCCTTCCTTTTTCTATGCAATCCTCCTTTTTTTTTTTTTTCATGTCCATCGCCTGTTCTATCATTTCCATATAAAGTGTGAAACCCCTACCAGTCAAATCTCCTGAGAAGATCCCCTGCGTTTGCCTGGGTTTGATGATTTCGGAGCCTGCAAGTCAAACTGACGTATCGTGGTGGCATTGTTTGTTTTTTCTCCATCCTTCTCACATTCGCTGTCTCTGCCTCCTCTCGCTCCCATCTCTCCAACAAGTCAGAAATCCGGTCGTTTCTGTCTCGAACCGGCCGACTTCCATCGTTTCATCCCTTCTTTTGCATCTGCCCCATTGGGCCCCATCTCGGTCGTGCGGTTACCTCGTTCCCAGTTGCATGCTACGCTACGGATATTTGCTACCGTGGAAGCGAGCAAGGCGGGAAAGAGGAGAAGGAACCGAGAGTGAACAGAGAGGGAACGACCCTGTGACCTGAACTTCGGCGATCCGATAGAACCAGCAGTGCGCACAGGCTGTTGGTCCTGTGTTGGTTTTTTCTGGCGTCAGCCGTGGTCTCCTGTTGAACTCTTGACATCTGCGCCTCGGCTTGCAGTTCACAGTTCGGATTGGTGGTGTGTGTGTTGTGACCGTGGCCCTTGCCTGTCGTTCAGCTTGCCGCCCGTCCTTCAACGATTTACACTTTTCCACAGCCCGCCCCCCGTCATTCTTCGACTGTCGTCCTCTTGGTGGTCTTAAAAAAAAATCCCCGAAAAAGACAAGAGGCTGGGCGGGATCAGGACCAGGAATCAGGAACGAACGAATAGACTGCCTAGAGTGGGTGGACGGACCCAACACTCGTCCCTTGTTCCTGGGCTAGAACACGAGCAGACAAGAGGCAACGAGAGGCAGGCACATCTGACTTTGTCCTCACATTCGGATACACACCCTTCACTATTTTTTTTTTTCGTCGTCGAGGTCGAGGCAGGCACATTTCCAGAGTGCAGTGCATTGCGCAGGCGCTGCTTCCCAACTCGTTGACGGCATCGCTGCACCTCGTCCATGGTGCATCCCTCCCCAAACCCGTCATAGCTGCCACACTTAAACCTTTCCACACCCTGAAACAGTCTCTTCCTCTACCCACACCCGCTCTTTACGCCGCATTGCCATACGTCTATACCATTCATACCTTACTCTTACTACCGACCGTACCACTTCACCTACCTCAGCTGTCTGTCTCTAAACACACATTACCTATTACGCATCCACACTTCACGCTCCTTCTGTGTGGTCTCTTCACTGCACGTCTGACCTTTTCTTACCTTTCCTTACCTCACGGACACTGGCCGCTTTCTCATCTATATCCGGGTCGAGGTTAGACTGATTTCCATTTCCATTCCCAACCCCACGCCCGCGCACCCACCTTACACATACACACGTCTACACGCAAAGCCTCGCTCCGATCTCAGCCCAGTCGGACCCTTTTCTTTTTGGTTTTGGCTTGTTTGCCTGCCTACCGCCTGCCCGCGCCTCTGGAACATCTGCCAGAAAGTCCCCACAGCTTCTTCTCGTCAGGACCCACGGCCGTGTGTGCAGAAAGGGCCCCAAGGTCCAAGGTCTCTCTTGCTTAACCTGCAAGGTCAAGGCAAGGTCCAGGTCACGGGCTCCGGTAGACGAGACGAGACCCAAGACGGGCAGAACACTCCCAGTCACCAAAGGCGGAGCGCTCCCTCGGGAAACATCCACCCATCCTCTGCTCTTCCACTTTCACAGGCCCGGGGTCTGTTCCCCATTACAATTACCTTGTCTCGCCTGCCTTTCACTCCCCGTCTCCTTCCTTTTCGCCCCTCCCAATCTGCAGATCCAGCAGATCGTCTGAATAACAAGGGCCCCCTCTGGAGTCTGGATCAAAACCACCACGCTCCCTCCCGTCCCCTCCCTCTTCCTTTCCACTTTGACTCTAGGCCCTCGTCTTGTCCAAGCCGTGCTTGATACCTGTCACCTTGGCCTCACCAGAGTCTATCATACCCCCGACATCAAACCGACACATTGCAGGACAATGAACGGACACGCTGCCTCCAAGGTGTCGCTATCACACGAAGAGGGTATGGGTCTGTTGGACGAGAAGACGTTGTCCGACGTCGAGAGCGAGAGCGGTAGGGCCGACCTCGAAGTCCGCTTCGCGATACCGCGATGGTCGACACTAGCAAGAGGCGTCGTTGGCTACGTGCGGGCCGTGCCATGGAGGGTTACGCTTATTCGAAGCCTCATCTTCCTACTGCCTAGCTTCGTTCAGAGCCGATTTACAAGAGAACGGAGTCGTCCCGAGAAGCTGTTCCCGACGTCATACCTCGACGGCATGCGAGGACTCGCCGCGCTATTCGTCTTCTTCTGCCACTACTTCTACCAAGCCTTCATCATCGCCGAGGGCTGGGGTTCATCAGAGAAGAACTACCACATTCTGAAGCTGCCATTCCTCCGACTCTTCTACCAGGGCCCGCCGGCCGTCTGCCTGTTCTTCGTCATCTCCGGATATGCACTCTCACTAAAACCGATCAAGCTCATCCGGAGCCAAAAATGGGATGAGTTCTCCGCGACAACAACATCCCTCATCTTCCGCCGATTCATCAGACTCTACATGCCCACGGCGATTTCCACCTTTGGTATCATGCTCATGCTGCAGATGGGCGTCTATGAATGGACGAGAGACTTTGCCATCGACCGCAAGTGGCACAAGAACGTCATGGAACCTCACCCCAAGCCATTGGATACGTTCTCCGAGCAAATCTGGGATTGGGTGTGGAGCATGTTCAACTTTGTTCACGTCTTCGGCTGGGAGCGGTTTGGTGGAAGCACATGTAAGTTGGACGCTGAGATGCACGTTGACACGACACTGACGCACTGTAGCCTACGACGTCCATCTCTGGACTATTCCGGTTGAGTTCCGCTGCTCGATGTACCTGTTCGTCACTCTCATCGGTCTGGCCCGTGTTCGCACAGGACTTCGCTTCCTTTTCCTCTGGGGAATCATCGCCTTCACCTACCGCAACAACCGCTGGGAACTACTTCTTTTCTACTTTGGCATGATGCTCGCTGAATACGATCTCATCCTCGGAAACCACAACAACAACCAGCCGCCCGCTGCTCTGCCGTTGAACGAGGCGCCGCCGCAAAAGAGCAGGTTCAAGGGTTTCCTTTGGGCGATGTTAAGCATTCTCGCTCTGTACCTCATGTGCCAGCCTGATATCAACTACGATGTCACTCCTGGCTGGGTCTGGCTTTGCTCCTTCATTCCCAAGTGGTGGGAGGAGGAAGGTTACCGCTTCTGGCAGTCCATTGGATCTGTTCTCTTCGTTCTCGCCGTCAGCCATTCGCCGAGATGGAAGTCCTTCTTCAACACCGCGCCCGTCCAGTACTTCGGAAAGATCAGCTACGCTCTCTACCTCATGCACGGCCCAGTGATGCACACTGTCGGCTACACCATTGAGAGATTCGTTTACAGCCGCACGGGTATTGAGGGATACTGGTACAACACCGGCTTTGTCATTGGGTCTTTCGGATGCATCCCCGCAGTTATTTGGGCCGCGGACGTTTTCTGGCGGCTCTTTGATATCCCGACGGTGCGGTTTGCAAAGTGGTTTGAAACAAAGTGCGCCATCAAGCAACAGTAAAGAGAAGGAACAAAGACGGCGCTTGCGCGTCTGCACATATGTCTGCGACAAACGCTCAATAACGAGCTGGGTCTGGAAAGTCGGTATGGGAATCGACTAATAATAGCATGACAACGGCGTTTTATATCATACGGCATTATTACTATACCTGGCGTCGGGAATTTTTATTTTTATGGGGGCAGGGGGTTTAGCCAACCTTTTTTGGCATGTTATAGATAGGCATCTCAGCAGGAATGCACCTTTCAGAGCCACATGACGGACTTGAGAAATGTACAGAAGAAGTACCAGAGAATGTGGACAACGTATCAGATGTGGTAGATGCAGCCGAAAAAGAATATTCTTCCGACCGAGGGGTATCAAATTCATTCCTTTTTTCTTTTCTTGAACCTTTGTCTAAATCTCCAACAAGATGTCTCAACCAATCATGCTCCTCTTCCTGCCCCTCATCCTGACGTCTTCGAGCTTCTTGAGAGTCGTGGGGGCCTGCTTGTATGATGCGCGATAGGCGTCCAGCAGATCCTGGAAGTATTCCTCGGCGCGGGGATGCGTGCTGCCGAAAGCGCGCTCGAGGACATAGAGATCGACCGCGCGGTCCTCGTCGGAGGTGCTCTGGCTCGCCAATCCAAAGTCGATGATGAAGATCTCCCCGTCCAATTTCGAGGCCTCCTCCCCGTTTGCGGTAGTGGCAGCAGGCTTTGGCGGGCGGAGCATCATGTTGGATGTGGTGAGGTCCCCGTGTACGATCCCGATCTTGTGCATCTTGCCGACGGCGGCGCCCATCCTGCTCATCAGGTTCTTGATTTCCGTGGCGTCTCGTCGTGGAGCTGCGGCGGCGGCCTTTTCTTCTGGTGTTGTTGTTGTTGTTGCTTCTCGTGTGTCCGCCATGACCTTATCGTCTGTCTCTTCCTCGGGAACTCCAGCCAGGCGCTGGCTGGGAACGACGGAGTCGAGCCACTCGTTGATGCGCACGCGGACGGGGGCGCCGGGGATCCACTCGAGCATGATCCAGCCGGCGGCCTCGTCGAGGGCGTAGAGGGCGGGGACGGGGCAGCCCTCGCGGCGGCATTTTGCGAGGACGCGGGCCTCGGCGAGGATGCGGGCGCGGGTGAGGCGGGCGTCGAGGGTTGGGTGGCGGTAGGGCTTCGGCGGCCGGTACTTGAGGGCGGACGGGGTGGAGGGGGCGAGGAAGGTGGTTTTGTAGAGGCGGGCTTCGGCGCCTTGGGTGATGAGCTCTGGCGCGGAGCAGGAGGGGTGGGTTAGGAGCGGGGGGAGGGGGAATTGTGTCGGTTGTGGTGTGGCCATTGTGTCTGTGTGTGCGTGTGGTTTGGTGAGGGTGGCTGGCGGAGGAGGAGGAGGAGAGGCGAGGAGGTCGGTGGCTGGCAGCTGGATTGGCGTGGTTTGGGAATATCTTCAATTTTGCGGCAGACCTGCACGGGCGGGCTCGGCGAGGAAAGTTTGGAGGGGTAAAGGTGCCGGTGCCTGTGCCTTGGCGGGGGTATGGTTTGGTGGGCAGACCGCCTGCCGCGAGAGGGGATTCTGCCAGCTGCCGTTGCTTTAGGGCCGTTTCTGGGGACGGGACGGACGGGTTTCGTAGCGCGCGGCGGGCCGGGCCCTGTGCGTGAAGCTTCACTTCCGTTCCGGGTGTTTCTTTTTGGCGGGCAAAATTTCCGCTGTAATCTATTCACGACTTGGCTTGCGCAAAGCTTCCGGAACGTTCTGAAATGCGTCGTGGGATTTCTTGGCTTGGTTTACCGGGCGTTGGGAGTGTTTGCGCACTCGCAAGGTAGGCAAGGTAGGCACTGTGCGACGCAGCGAGAAGCAAGCGTGAGGTTTTGGGAGAGCGGCCGCAATTGGCATCCAACAGCCAAGATGCAAGATTGACCAATGCCCAGCGACAATGGGACTGAAGTTTGAGCTACTCCTTCGAATACATGAAGGGGTGATGCACCCACCCTTCAAGTGAAGGCCGTGAATACGGCACCAGTGTCGAGACACCAAAACGTCATTTCCGAATCGCAAAGATGGCCCAATCCGTGCTTTCACGCGATCATCAATCTCAGATAACGAAGCAAGCTGCAAGTCTTTTCTCATCTTTCAACACCAACCGGGCCATTCGGTTCCTCCGCCGCTACCTATTGCCGCACATCGCGCGCGGGAGCAGACGATCAATGTCCTGCATCGGTTCACACTGGGGCCAGGCTTCCCGATATGCAGCCCAGCGGCCCAGCAGCCACACCACCACGACCACCTGCAGGCAGGCGAGCCAACGATACAACCAGGCCACCAATCACCTCTGTCTACCAAAGTCTTCTGTGGCGGCCGAGAGGTGCTGAGAGGGGCAAATGCTTCCCTTTCGCATATCCGCTCTGGTGATATGCAGGCCAGGGTCGGTTCTCTTGCGCCTTCGGGCAGCTGCTGTTGGAAGACTATCCCGTGCTGCCCGCTTCCTCGTCCCGAAAAATTGCGCAGTTCTAGCTGGACCCTTGGAAGACTTCAATTCGAAGTGGGAGAATGTGCAACGTTTGGAAGGCGATTAGAACGGGCAGGCAGTGCTTACGGAGGGGAGGGCAAAATATCGACTATGCTCCATTGAGTCGCATGCATCCTCGCATCTGACAGAACCCGACCCTGTCGAGGTTTGCTTACATTGCCCTCCAATCCCTCATCTCTGGGTCTTCTGTATTTGTCCACCTCTGGTTTCCCGGTCTCACCCTCTTCACAAGCTGGTGTAGCCTTCCGCCGGTCGCACCGAGGACAATGGGCTCCTGAGCCTCGTCGCGGAACACACGACGTCTCTTTATTGCTACACCACACCCTAGCTGGCCGAGCTGTCGCCTCTGTGCCCTTCTCTTTCGCAGACTCAAGACTATCTGTGGTGATTCAAAAAGAAAGGCGCCCATACCCGAGAAGACGAAATGGCGGCATTTCTCGTGGTCGCCGCGCTGGCCGTCTGCGCCGGCGCGGCCGCCGGACAGAGACGGTACGCCGCCGTCGACATGTCACCAGCAGGCGGCGGCGGCGCCCTCGTCCCGCGTTTCTTCATTGACGAGCCCCGTCTCGTGGCCCGCGACGGGGCTCCTTGTCCCGCGAACGCGCATTCATGTGAGACTCCTACAAAACATCCCGAGACGAAGGCCATGAATATGTGAGCTGGTTCTAACAAATTGAGATATGATATAGGCCTCGACATAGGCTTCCCGGACCAATGCTGCTCTAACGAGAACTACTGCTACGTCAAGCCGAACGGGGACCCGTGGTGCTGCCAGATCGGCTCCAACTGCGACTCAAAATGCTCCGCCTCGCAGTTCCAATGCACCACCGTCGTCCCCGTCACGATAACACCTACCACCACCGGCGACCCGACCGTCACGTCCTCCACTGTGTCCAACTGCTGCTTCCGCGGCTGCCCCTCGACCTCCAACTTCCGCTGCGCAGACCAATTCGGCGGCGGCTGCTGTCCCTACGGCAACACCTGCGCCTCCTCCAAGCAATGCATCCAGACCATCTCCGCCACGCCGTCCTCCACCGCCGGCGGCCTCACCCCCGCGGACCCGGGCTGCACCGCGACCACCCAGCACGCCTGCGCCGACGGCCAGGGCTGCTGCGACGACCTCATGCACTGCACCAGCGTCTCCGGCACCGCGGCCTGCGCGCCGGGGAACCCCACCGCCACGGACGTGACGTACGACCCGGACAGCAACGGCGGCACCGGCGGGTTGTCAGCGGGCGCGAAGGCGGGCATCGGCGTGGGCGTGTCTGTGGTCGGTCTCGCGCTCGTCGGCGTCCTCGCGTGGTTCTGCCTCGTCCGCCGCCGTCGCCGCCGCGGAGCGACCACCATGACGGCCTCATCCCAGCGCAGCGGCGGGCTGAGCAACGTCATCGGCGGGGGAGCAGCGTCCTCGCGCCCGGGACGCAGCGCGCGCGCCATGTCGGAAGTAACATCGGGCTCGCGGCCGACGGCGCGCCGCGGCGCGACGCAGGATTACTTCGGCCCGGACGCCGTGGCGGGGCCGTACACGGAGACGGAGACGGTGGCGTCCGCCGAGGGCGCGGTGACTGTCGCGTCGTCGCCCGGCCGCCACCGCGGCGTGCCGCTGCAGGCGCACTCGCCGAGCGACGTCGTGGCGCCGGTGGAGATTGACTCGCGCGTGAAGAGGGGGGCGCCGGCCGCGGCCACGTCTGTGTCGCAGCAGGCGTTGGCTCCGTCCTCGCCGCCGACGACGGAGGGGCGGTTCGAGTTGTACGGGAGCGAGATGCCGAGCCCGACGTCGCCGGGGATGCCGTCGCCGCCGCTGATGACGCCGAGCGCAAGGAGCGTTAGTATGATGGAGAGGTCACCGATCGACAGGTCGCCTGGACCGGCGCCGAGCCCGGAACCGCGGCGGCGGTGAGGGGGTTTGAGGAGTTGGCTGACGCTATGTGTTTTCTCTCTGTTCTCGTGTTCATATCTGTCTTTTTGAGACGCCTGAATTGAAGTAATAAACGAGCGACGGTACATTTTTTGTTACACAGATTCCCGATGCCTTCGGAAAATCCCTCCCTTGTAAGAATACTTATTATGCGATAAGGAGTGGTAGGAAACCTTTTTTGTGTGAAGAGCAACTCCGCTTGACCGACCGTTTCCTTGGAGAAATTAACAAAAAACGATAGACATTGATCCTTCGTGTCACATCCCTGCCCTCCGCGAACGCCAAACAGTATGAAGGATGCAAATGAAGACTGGAAGAAGCGATGATGAACGCATGCGAGTCTAAGAAAAATGGAAGAAAGAAGAAGAACCCCCAAGACGACCAGAAACACCAAACACGAGACACCGATCCCCTTCAGAAGTTGTATGAACACCCACATAGCTCAGCAAACGACGCCACCAAAGGGCGCGCACGTCCGCAGATCCTTGACCAGGTCCTCGACGCTGCTGAGATGGCGGCCCAGCAGCTCCTGCTTCTCCTCCGTGGTCAGGGTGTCGGCGGACTCGCTGCCGGCGCGACTCCTTGCGTAGTGCTGGGCGTCCGAGGCGGTGGAGTTGCCGCCCGCGAAGGCGCCGGCGAGCTTGCTGGGGCTGCGCTGGTGGATCGCGGGGACGGAGGCGCGGGCGTCGGCGCGCGGGATGGAGGGAACCTCGGGCATGAGGTAGAAGTAGAGGAACTCGACCAGCTTGAGCTTGACCTCGCGGGCGGTAGAGCGGGACTTGAAGAGGGAGGTGACGGTGAGGAGGCCGTCGAGGGCCTCGAAGGTGCGCGTGTTCAGGGGGGTATCGATGAGAGCGACAACGAGGACGAGGAGGGTCGCGGATTGGATCGCCGGGCAGTTGACGGGTTCGAGGAGGTCGAGGAGGAGCTGCGGGATGGAGTTAGTGTGAGAAATTTGGAAGGAGCCTTTAATGCCAGACATACGTTCATATTTTGTTCTCTCGAGAAGAGTGCCTTGCTTGGTGGGTGGAGGAGCAGGACGCCTTGGATCAGATCCAGCGAGCTGAGGATGAGGAGGTCATTCTGGCCATCGGCGCCCTTGCCCATGAGGCGGTCAAGGGTGTTGATGAGGCGGAGGGCAACGTTCCACTCGAAACCCTCCTGCAGCTTGAAGAACTCGCGGAAGGCCAGGTCGTCGGACAGGTCGGACAGAGACTTGCCGCTCGACCGGGCGGACTCATCGTCAGTCGCCGGCGACTTTGATGACCTTGACGGCGCTGAGAGGCAGATCTGGGCGAGGAGGCCTTCTACCTGGCGCAGGCCTTTGCGGACCTTGGGGCCATCGTAGGAGGAGAGGGAGTCGAAGGCGAGGCTGAGGAGGTTCTCCATGTTTGGATATCGGTGGTCGTGACGATGTTTGTGAGGAGGCCGCCGTGGCTTGGTGGCTGATGTGCTGCGGTGGACGGGGTCGGTCTCGAGCGCGCGGAACGAACTGAACAAAAGAGACGATGCGATTATCTGTCGATGCGATTATCGATAACAATTGAGTGACGCCGGACTGGGATCGGGGTCTGACGGCAGCAGCAGCACACGCCGGAAAGTTGATAATGCAGAAAAACAACAAGAACAAAAACCGACGAGAACACAAGTCCTCTGGGGGTTGTGGGGGTATCACGATCGGATGACTGGAAAGTGCCGAAGGGGGAAAAAGAAGAAGGGGGAAGAAGCGCACAAGGTGATGGATCGCGCGGCGCAAGTAATAAGCATATGAGAGAGACAGCGGCGGCAGCGACAAGGACGTCGGTAGCTGATTGCCGTGTGGACAGGTGTGGATGTTTGTGTTGCGACCCGACGATTAATGCCCCGGCAACCGGGTCGATCTCCAAGGCGTTG